ACTATATACCTGAGACAAGTGAAGGGAAAAGAGAATTCTGGGAGCAGTTCAGAAACACAAGATGATTAATAGCTCTCCTCAAGCCCCATCACTCTGACATAAAAAAAGAGCTGAACCATTGCCCAGGTCCCAGGGACAATCAGGTCGTACAACTCAACCTCAAATGCCAGAAATGAAGATCACCTAGCATAATGGCATAGCACTACTGCTTGTCACTCAGAAGCCGAAGAACGTTAAGAACAATGAACTGGCCATGCTTCTATATTTCATATCTGGCCTTACTCTGTATCTATTTCTGAGATTATCTTCTCCAACTCTTACTACTACATTAAGTTTCATTCCAGGCTGATTGTTTCTTTTCTCTTTCCTTTCAATCATCAGCTTTGTATCTTCATTTAGTGGTATTTTTCTACGTATATGAAAACTGTCTCCTTCAAAGCATTTTTAGTTGCCTTTCAACACCAATCACAAGGCAGATGCCAACAGAATTTCCATCAATTTATATTTTATATGTTCTGATATGCTCTGCAGCACAACTCCTTGGGAGAGCGGCCAACTGGGCTTGACATGCAAGGTACGCTAATGTATTACTCAAATTCAAGGAAGAAGACATCTAGCATACTGCTTTACGTGCATGCTCTTATATGAAACATTTTTCCAATTCAACATTCTTTCCTAGAACTAGATCTATCAGTAGGTGAGTATCAGCTGTCTTCAATTATTACTTACTCAGATAACAAATTTTGATTATACAGCTTTTCTGCTTAGAATTTTTTTATCACTGCAAAGACCTGAATTAAAAAATCAGTATCACTGATGTTAATTCAAACATACCAATATTTTCTTTTTATTTAGAACATCTTGAGCTTCCTATCTTCTTAACGAATTAATTAAATATAAAGTCTTATAATCGCAACATAAAAGAATGGGTTAGCACAAAGAATTCGCTGATGACTTGCTAGCCAGTTTGAGAGATATTTCTGAAGCAGATAAAAAATGCTCAGTTATGAAGGGTGGCAGATGTACACGGATAAACCTGCCAGAATTTCTTGATAGTGCTGACAAGCAGAAGTTACTGTGTCAACATATTGCCCAATAACTGAGGGGAAAGGATGGGGGGAGGAGGGGAAGGAGGGATTTAAAAAGAAGGGAAAAAAAAAAAGGAAAAAAAAAAAAAGGCAGCCAGAATCCAGGCAGCACTAAAGCCTGATATGAATTTGAATTTCATTTTTATCAATGTAACTAAACGATTGCTTCCTATTGATAGTACAGTTTCAAGACTTCTTTGGCAATTTGTTAAGTATACGAGCAATCAACATCACCATATTATAACCCTGTGTGCAAAATTTGGCAGCTTGCATTGGAAACAGCCTAGCAGGAAAAAAAATCACAAATTTTCAGAATGTCTGAAAGCACACTGTTATTCCAGCTGGTGCTGAGAGTAGTCTAAGTATTTGATTTCAGCTGAACAGGAAAATACCTGGTTAAATTCACCGAGAAGAAAACAAGTTTCTGGATGTACATGTTGGCTAATACCTTAGCTTTTCAAAACCTTAAACTCAAAAGAACTTTTAAAACATTTATGTATTTTTTTTTCCCTAGTGATAAGTATCTGCTAGTTGAATTTGTGGCAATTTAGTCACAATAATAAAGTTGTGTATTCCTTAAAGATGCATCTCACCAAGCAAACCACAGATATAAGACCATTTACTGTTGTTTTCCCTATTAATTCAATTCTATCAAAATTTGTAATGTCTTACATGTAGACAACTTAAATAAAAGAATAATTGTAAATTGAAACACATTTCCGACTCCTAAAAAATGACTGGGAACTATATTAATCAGCTTTTGTATTGCTGCGCAGCATAGCAGCTTTACCAGGCATATTGTGTCTAAAGTATAATCTTTCTCCAGACTCCAGTGCTTGAGAAACATCGACCAGAAGTTCACCAGAAGCCACTCCGCCTTCATTTAGGGTAGCCAATAAAAAATTAGCAACTCTCCCTTTAACCAGAATGAAGCAGCAAAATGAAATTTCAAGGCTGACTATAAGGTGCCCTCTTTGAATGGGACTAGAAAGTGCACAGGAATGCATATATTTTACTTCAACAATCTCATAAAGTAAGGTGGGGGTGGTGTTTGATTTTTATTTTCGTTGTTTCTAGTACTGTCAACCTAGATGCTGTTCTTAGTATACTGATAAGTTGAAAATGTTTGAGTTAATACTTTGTTGAGAAAGTGGTTACCTAAAGAGAAAGCATACAGAAACGATTTCATTATATTTCAAAACAGAAAATTTTGACCTGAGACTAAAAATACTAATCTTGAAGAAATTCAATATTCCCTTCACCTTGTATAGACAGAACTGCAAGTGCACGCTCTGCTTATTTCAACTTAAAATGGATTTCACACCATGACAGGTTTCATTCTGCATTAAAATTGCAAATCTTCTATGTGGCCCAGTTTCAGCTGCAATTGATCTGGTCTGTCGTCATAGATAAAAACAGCGAAGGGCACTGCAGCTTTAAATATTTCAGAGCTATGTAGCTAGTAAATAGACTCCATTGCAATATGGCTCTGAAGGTCGTGTCCTATTGTCTCTTTTCTGTGCAAATATTTTGAACAGCATAAAATGCTTTATTTTATACAATACCTCCCTGCTGTTTCTAAATCACATAAATTGTATTAGGCATTTCCTCACTGGAAAGGACAGATACGCCACTCTTTCCATACACACCCACACTCCTTCTAGATGTATTTAAAACCTCCACTGTGCATATAACAGCAGGGTGTACATATCAGACATATACAGCTTTTCATATGTATACCTTATGCTATCAGACTCCCCGTTAAATCCCACCACAACATAAGGACAACTAGTTTTTTCAATGGTGGTAAAATAATTAACTGGATTTCAGGTAAAGAAGGATCTTTAGTGAAAAATAACAGGTCTGTTAGAAAACCAAAGCTAGCAATTTTAATATCTCCTGTTTCTCACCTACGGGAGAATATGAAAAAGAAAACAAGAAAAAAAGGCACACAGCACCAAGAGAATGGAGTCTGCCAAACATGGTTTTCACAAAGGAAGGCTACAACCTTTCAGATGCTAAAAAAGGCAACAACAACAAAAAAACACCAAAAAAACCCACCCAAAAAAACAAAAGCCCTGTCACATTTAAGTTACAAGAAAAATAAGACTATAAACCTTAAGCCAGCATTTGGAATCTTTGTGTATCCACTCCCTAGGATCAAACCCACTTCTTTCATATAAGGTTATTATTTGATGCAAATACGAGTTTTGGAGATGCCTCTCAGAACATGAAATACACCCTGTAAAAAATACAACTTTGCAATAGCTGTCACCATTGTAGAAAGTGCATGTGGTCATTTACCTGAAAGGGCAACAGATTGTTGCCATTGTCCGTCCTGAACGCGTTGTCTTCCATCCAGGATTTGGGGGTTAAGGGTGCAGCCCGTGGGAACTTCGGAGGGGCAATGACATTGCTGGAGAATGGTTTTTTAAGAGGTGAAATGGGATTGAGGGGAGAGGGTACACCGACCCCCACTCCCACGCCGACCCCCACTCCAACTGCCCTTCGAGGGTCCCTGCCAGCCTGCAGCCCACCCCAAGGATTGGAAGGTGTACTCCAAGCTGCATTTTGATGGTTGTTCCAGCTGGACGAAGAAGAAGAGGAGACAGAGGAGGAAGACGGTTTGCTGGTCATGATGGGCTGATGGCTGTAAGCAGCATTTCTCTGGGCGAAAGGTGCCTGATTAGGGCTTACAGGTGACCTTCGCTGCTGCTGCTGCTGAGCTTGCTGCTGCTGCTGCTGATGTTGGTGGTGTTGAGTCTGAGCTAGGCCAATTTGAGGTGAGAAAGTGCCACCAAATACAGGGTTGACATGGTGTGGAAAATTCTGGAAAAGCATTGTCCCATTGACTGGAGTAATCCCTTGGAAAAAGCTATCATCCACCGTGTTTGTGGTCCCTGTAGACCAGGTGCTGCCGAAGGAGGGAGACAAGGAGGTGCCGGCTGCAGGTTCTTGTTGAGGCTGGTGAAAGCTTAAGCCAGGCAAAATGGGAGACTCCATCTGCATCTTCTCCTTGCTATTTTGTGAAGGAGCTGATGTGCCGATACTAGTCACTGAACTGCTGTCTTCTGATTTCGGTGTCTCCGACGAGATGGGTGTAGAGGGGGCTTCTGCTGAGTTTGGATCTTGCTGCTGCTGCTGCCGCTGCTGCTGCTGGGGCTGGGCTTTGCTTTTGTCCATCAGTAAATCATCCTGCATGGTTTGCGCAGCTGAAACAGTAGGGTAAAAAACCACAAAGACAGATTATTAACGTTGTCATTCATACCACAAACCAGGCTGTCTTAATCATTTGCCAGCCAAAAATCTCGTCCTATTGCTAGCGCTATGCTACAGCAAATTGCAAGGCAAACCCGTAATCTTCCCCCTCCCCCAATTAGGAATATGTAATCTTTGATCGTGCTAGATTGCCTTTAAAATATTTTTTAAGATGCTTCACCCTTTTTGATGCCTTGTTTCCCTTCAGTCTAAATGAGATGTGCTTATAGGGCAGAGATATACAGCAATTTCGCCACGTCTCTTTTCTCTTACACCGGAACTCAGAGCTCTCACCCTGCAATGAGAAACTGATTCTGGTTCCTGTTTTTCCAAGCACCCTCCTCCTCCTCCACCTCCTCCCCCTGGTTATTTGCATACGTCAATAAATACTGCTGCGTCCTTCAGCAAGGTTAAAAAGACACCAGTCTTCACTCTTCTCCACCCCCTTTTCTATTAAGGTACCTTTAAAGGAGCCGGGTACCGATTTTCCCTAATTAACAAACAAGCTTTCAGTTACTGAAATTTATCAGAGAGAAAGCACACACGAAATCTCACACTGATGCTGGAGCGGTTCTGAGCTGCGCAATCGTTTTCCGGCCTATTTCTGCCGCACAGCTCGCTGCCTGCTTAGGGCAAGAGAAGCGATCACAACGGGGTGGGGGGGGACGGGACGACGCTTCATGTACAAAGCCACCGACGGGTGTTAGATTTGCCTTCAGCGACCTTACGATCTTCCCGTATAAAACATCAAAGCACTCCTTTGCTTAAAGGTATTTCTACTCGGTGTACTTCTACATATACTAAATCAGTAGTGATTCGTTCATTGGGAAAAAAGGTCCAAATGCACAGATACTGGAGGTACTATCATACTATGCTGTTTCTGATGCTTCCACAATGAAAAATAAAACTGGGACAAATTGAAAAAATACAGACATGCCACACTTTAGAAACTATCTTTATATAGACAAGAGAAACACTAGTGATGCAAATTATTTGTTAAATCAATACATAATTTTAAACTCTAAAAAAATAAAGGTATGTATAATGGTTGAGTTGTATCTGCTAGAATAGGGGCTTCATATGAAATAGGACAGATAATATCATTTGATTTTTGAAACATGGTGATACTAATGCATATGTAGACACCAATGAACAGCAATTGTATAAACTAGAATGGGAACCTCCACATTTTGCAAACTTTTAGTCAATTGATCATTTTCAATCTCAGAAGTATTTTAAATGAGACCAAAATTACTTCAATTAACTATGTCAAATATAGTAATTGCTGCATACCTAATTGCATTTGAGTTAGTCATATGACATGTACATTGCCTTATTTTAGGGTTGTTGTTTTACAAAGTAAAGCCAAATCAATTAACTGTTCAAGAAAGGTGGCAAAGACTGAAATCAACAACCCTCTCCCTTCTGACATCAACAGTTTTCAGATGGTTCATGTGTACCTTTAACTTTTTTCTTTTTTTTTTTTTTTTCTTTTAAATCTCCTGAGCCCTACATACACTTTCTAGTTAAAATGAGTGTCAGGACAGATTTCTGCTATTAATTAAGTTACTGCTCGTGTTCCCTCTTATTTATCTGTTCAATATGTAAACTGAACAGCAAGAGCTCATGAACAGACTACACAGTGAGACAACATGAAGGCAAGTTCCTATGCAGAATGGAGCAAACTATTGCATCTGTAACAAGAAGCTCTGCTGGTACTGGGGGTGCAGAAAACCTTGCAAGGCAGTTTAAAGCAGTACTGCAGTAAGCCATAATATACCAAGCTCTGTGTAGCTTTCCGTTAGTTTCATTTCTATCAAAATCTCTATTACTCTTAAGGTTACATAAAATTACTGATGATTCCACATATGAGAGAGAGAGAAAAAAAGATTATATGTATTTGTTCCCTGGTTCTGAGCTATCAGTATAAAAATATATTTAGCGAGAAAAACATAGCAGCTGAAATTAAAAAATCTGTCATCAATAAAGTATATTTAAATCAGTTAGTCACCAGGTTATCTATAGTGGCTAGCACAGCACTAGTCTCAAACATGTACCTTGCCTTAGCTAGCTGGTTCTGAACTTTATCCTAAGGATTGTAATCCACATTATTTTCATATTACTTCTTAAAGGTAAAAATCACGGCACAATTCAACCCTCTTTTCAAGGTCAAGACCTACCTTTAATGAATGAAGCCAGTCTGAATGGAAAAACACTGGATAATAAATGACTTTGAAAGATAGGCCAGCCAATGTCTAATGTTGGACTAATGCAGTACCTCCTGATTATTTGCTGGTGTAAGTATTTGTAAAAATTTAAAATCCAGTGCAGGAAACGTCTATCCCCATAACAATAGCAGCTCCATTTGCATGCAGTAACCCATGCAGTCAACACAAAAATCTGTAAGGAATGTTTACCTTTGGATTTTCTGTATTTAAAGATCAACAAAATGACAGTATATTTATTTTCTTCTTTCAGGTTTGGTATATGACAAATAGTCGACCACAGTGGCAAGAGCACTTTGACAACTGGAAGCTTTCAGCGCATGCTCTCCCAAGGAATCCTGGGGGTTGAAGTCTTAGCTATAGATGGCATTTCACTCCTGCCTATCCTGAAAGGAAGAGGGCTCTAAGGGGAAAAAGTACGCAAACACTCTTTCTTTCCATGGAAAATTGCTGCAATCTGAATCACCAGCTCTAAGAAAATAAATATGTGTCAGATTGAGCTGAACCCAAGTAACTAAATAAGAGCTTTTAACAGTTTAATTTATTAACTCTGACCAAATAGCTACCTATTTGGAAGAGCAATAGCTACACAAGAAATAGTACCAGTATTTCCAAACTTCCAGTATAAGAAGTTAATTATAAGCCCATACCAGCTATAAATTATACAGCTATTACAAAGGAGATTGCATCATGTTGCTTAGCTGAAGAAAATATTAAATAATAACCTGCCATAATACAATTCCTAACAATATTCTGAAACTCAAACATAAATAGGTAGAGCATGAAAATTTAAAGCAAATCAAAATCAGCACACAGCCAAAATGTTGTACTATTTGAATAGTTTCCAATTTCCAAGTTACCACATTTCATTACTGAGTTACTGTTACCACACTGAAAATTCTACAAAACAAACAAACAAACAAACAAAAAAATCTAAGTGGGAATAAAATGGAAGGTGCAAATTTTATTATTTAACATTCCATCTGCTCTGTCCACCATTCCACATTTCAACTACCTCCCTTCCACTACCTACATATGTCTAACCTCCACATCAATACACAGTCTGACAGGCCTTCCTCTCGTATTAATATTTTGATGATTAATGTAGGTCAGGTAAAGTTTTCAGAATTCCATTCACTGGCATTTATGTTCTGTCTTGTACTGTCACATGAATTATTCTGGATATTTATTCTAGATAATTATTCATAATACTAATATGCAGGAGTAAATACTAATGCTTGTATAGAAATTATATAATTGAAAACAGAAGTGTGAAAATATCAATATTTAATAAAAGTGCAAGCTGATTGTTCAAATGATGAAATATGCTTAGCTTTATCAGTGAAAAGACATGACTAAAGCTGACGAAGGTACATTAGAGCAGTTGAAAATGGACTGTTAAACACGTTACTTTCTACCTTCTGTTTATGTTGGACTATATGGTCTACCTGCCTTAAATCAATGCTGTAATTAAGAGTTTCTCAACACTTGCTGTAACCTGTTTGTGCTACTCTGAATCATTATGAGAAGGAAAACTGCTTTATTACAGCAGTTGAGAAAACCTCATTTGTTGAAATATCCCAGCTATCACAGAGGTAGCTCTAGGCATTCTATACCCCAGCTTTACATTCCTATTTACTTCTGGGTTATTGCTTTTCAGATGATTTGAAGATTCATGTGGAAGGGACCACACCCTTGCTGTCAGTTTTCCCCAGGAGACAGCTTCACTTTATAGATCAATGAGTAAGATAAGGAAGGTGCTTCTTACGATGTTCACAAATGGAACAGCACTCCATAAGCAAAGAACATCAGAACATAGAGTTTTTGATCAATTGGCCACTAGAAGAAACAGGTTTTTGTTTCTATCAGGCAATTCTTTCATAACTGGAAGTTAAAAAATAGTAGCAACAGCTGTATCAGAACACAGGAGCTTAGCATTACTTGACCTGTGCCAGTTCCAAAGAAACAACTGTAAAAAAGGCCCAAGTAAGCCTAGCTAACTCAGTTCACACTGTATTGAGTGTGTTTTTATTTTATCAAATTCATTATTAAGCAATTTAAGCCCATTCTGATTAACAGACCATGATGGTGTTTTTGCCAGAAGTGAATATTCCAACTAGCTTGAAGTTTAAGTATTATGTTACTGAAGAAAAATAGTTTTATTGTAGAAACATTTTTCTCAGTTTAGATTTGTTTCATTTTAGTTTAATTGAGGGCTTCTTTTTATTTTTTATTTTCTTTTTAAGGTGGAATCAACTAGATAAAAAAATGCCTAACCAATCTTGTAATTTAATTTTACACATTACTATCATAGCAGTTAGAAATGCAGTTTTGCCAAAATAGAATATCCATATTGCCAGGGTACTTAGCTTTACTGAAAATAGTGAATAATTCTTGTTAACTTCTTTCTTATGTTTAAATCTCTATAAATTTGTTAGGAAATGATTTAGTATTTTCAATGGTGACATTTTGACATAAATCTGATAGCCAAATTTAGGACTCAATCTTAAACCCTAAATAGCTTATACTGGTTTTGGTGATCTTCATTAAGATCTATACTTGCCTCCAGATGTGCAGTTTTATTCAATCCAAAATGTCTGCCACCTCCAGTTAGCATCAGTGAAGCCAAGCCTTGTCAAATCTCAATTAATAGCAACCCTTTTACCTCACTTTGCATTGGAAGTAAGGAGCCTTCCCAGGAGAGTTCACTCAGGGCTCAAATGCAGCTACCATCAGGTGAAGGTAAGAGAGAACAGAGTAAGACAGTACAATTAACATCATGGAGACAGAAGGAAGGAACAAAGAAGGATCTATTAAGGGATGATACAGGAAACAATAGTTTCCAAAAAATTAAAAAACTGCCAGAAGCAACATGAAATTTATAGTGGAAATTGCCAATGCAAAAAAAAAGAAGCATAAAGAACAAAAAGTGGAAAGAAAAAGAAGACACAAATGGGATGAGGGAGAGTGAATTGAAGGAGGAGATTATTAGGGAGAATAAACCAAGTATTTGTATAAAGCAGCTGCATATCTGGTCTTGTTAAGGCGAAGAGATGAGGAGACTCATGCTCTGTCAGGGAATAAGGATTTTTTTCCTTAAATTCAGAAATGGTTATATATGTATTTTAGGACTTTGATTCTGAGAAGAGCAGACAAATGGAGGACATACACCCCAAGCTGTCCAACAGGCACAAATCAGTTTGTAGATTTCAGGATCTTTAAGCTTTTTATGGAATGATAAGAGGCTTGCCATTACACAGTCAAAGAATTACAGAATCTTTGGGTTGGAAGGGACTTTTAGAGGTTGTCTAAGTCCAACTCTGTTGCAATAAGCAGGGACATCTTCAACTAGATCAGGTTGCTCAGAACCCTGTCCACCCTGACCTTTAATATTTTCAGGGATGGTGCATCTACCACCTCTCTCTCGGCAACCTGTTCAGGTTTTCATCACCCCCACAGTAAAAAATGTCTTCCTTAACCAGTTTAAATCTACCCTCTATTTGTTTAAAACCATTACCCCTTCTCATGTCACATAAACGTAAGGATAAAACCAGCTTCCCTATTTCCATTTGTAACATTTTAGAATAAATATATGAACCCTAAGCATTTGGCCAGTCTAGCTGATCTAGGCCAATAGACAATGCACTTATTCCAGACCAAGATTAGGAACCAGAAACTCTGGTATATAATATTACTCTTAAGTTTCACAAACAGCTGTAACTGGGACAGTGTGTATTAGGCTCTCTTCCAGGAAATCATGACCACATGGTTTACTCAAGCCACTGTATACCCAAGACTTCTTAGCAGTACAAGCAAAACTGAATTTTACAGTCTTAAGAATAAGTACTTAATAAATAAGTTTTCTGGGACAGGACGTCAGCATGACACCTTCTTCCTACTTGCTTCTATACATACTTCTTGTATGGAGCACTTACATCACTATAATTACTTTAGCATTCGAATTTATGATACTTGTAGCAACTAGAAAATAAAACAACACCCTCCCTACTCCATAGGTATAATATAGCCATCAAGACCAAGTCCTGATACTCGCACACATTTTTACAATACATTTCTCTCAAGTAAAGACTCTGAAAACCAGACTGATTTTCGCCTACGGCAGCACAGTCAAAGGATCCAGTATATTCATTAAAAGTCTCCTTTCTGTTCTACCTGATCTCTATAGTCATGTATATCCACCATGCAAATACTACCTGTCCTAACCAAGAACAGATGTAGGTTGATGCAGTTGCACAGTTAAGGGGTTGGCCCTGTAAATTACTACTTTGTACAGTAACTACAGCACAACAAAGTTGCAATTTACACCAGGTATCTAGGACTAGTTACATGCAACAAAAAATATGAAAAGAACTATTAAAAAAAGTACTTTTACGTGTATCACATTAAAAGGAAAATTCAAAGATGACCTTCATTAATCAGCCTTCCCAAGAATCTGGAATGTCACAAATGCCTTTGAAAAGTAAGGTATCAGCCTTTGCTAGGGGAGCATGACGTTATACAGAACCTTTACAAGCAAGCATACACTCAGACTGAAAAGAGTGGAAGACAAGACACCCAGAATGGAAATAAAATAGAAAGGCAACTTCTCTCCAGGTGCTATCCACCTCTTTCTTCTATAATGAATTTTCATTTTCTAAATTTCCAGGACTCACGGACTGATGGGATGTTCTGACTTCAGAACGTACAACAAATTTTAAAAGCACTTCAAAAGGACTTTTTTTCCATTAGGAAGCACGCCTACAAACCGAAGCGAGAGCAGCGTCATTACCACCAGCCGTCCCACGCCTCACCCCACTTGCGTACAGAAGCTAGTGGCCACCAGGCCTCCACCGAGCACGCCGGGTACTTGTGCCTGTCATTGCCACCAAGCCCACAAAACCGGATTAACTTCCCTGCCGCAGTGCCAGCCCCCGCCCGTCTCGGCAGCCAACTGGGGCAGGCACCTGGCAGAGTCACCTCTTCCCCCGGTCCTCCCCGCCAAGGAGGGGGCTGGTGCTGCCTGCACCTGCTCGGCAGGCAAAGGAATGGCGAGGGTGCTGCTCCTGCCCTGCGAGCGTCCCCCGAGGGCACAGAGAAGGCGGCGGCCCAGTCTTTCTCCACTTCCCTCCTCCCGTGAGGCGGGACCGTGCTGCGCCTCTCGCCTCACCCGCCGCCGAGGGCAACGGTTGCTGCGCGAGAAGGGCGATGGCCGCTCCCACTGCCCCGTGCCTTCAGGCCCTCAGAAAAACCGGGGCGGCGGCGAGCACTGTGTGTTCGGGAGTGGCAGCCACCACAGCGGGAGCGGGGCCAGGTGCTGACCTTCCCCCGCGTACCCCCATTACCCTACCGCTTTCCCTACCTGCCCGCGCGCGGTGCCGGGCAGCGACTACGCGGCAGCAGCAAAGAGAGACATAGGGAAGGGTAGCGGGGAAGGAAGAGAGAGCAGGCTGCGCCCACCAGGACCTTTAAACTCCCGGCAGCAGCAGAACTACATTTCCCAGCGTGTCGCGGGGCGGTGGCCCGTTCCCTGGCGCAAGCGTATTGTGGCGGGTGGGTGGTGGCGACGGGTCGGCGCTTACCTCACAGGGGGTGTGCTGCGTGTCTTGCTCCGGCAGCGCGGCGGCCTGGGCCGCGCAGCTTTTGCGGACGGCTCCGTGCTGCCTCGGCGACCGGCTGTCCGCTTCGTCCCCGCCTGCGGAAGGAGGGGCAGCCC